ATTTTCCCCGAAAACTTGGGAAGGGGAAACTCGAACTTCGAAGAAGTTGTTTGACACTTTTTTGAGAGCTCAACTCTGCCATTTAATATAAAAAGTCCTCATGATAGGAGAAAAGGGAAAAGAGAGAAAACTCCCAGGGAATTTCTCTTCAGAATCGGCCTGTTTGTCTTGCCTCTTTTTCTCCAATCAACCAAGACCTGACCGAATTGTCCAATTGACTGTCATCGAAAAATCAAAGTGAGAGTCAGTGAGAGAAGTGTGAATGTATTAGTGAAAAAGTGTGAATATATTGCTATTGTCTTGGCAAAATTATCTCATGTAAATGCCGTGTAAGCAAGAGGTATTTATCATACTCATATTTAACAACATGCCTGACGCGCGCGAACTTCAACTCTCCCTGGCTTGATGTGCAAAGAGTTGAGGGAAATAAGTACACTGAACCAAAAAAATACTAAAAACCGCCGTAAAGTTAACATTTTTTGTTTACAATTTGCAACTGAAGTGAAAAAATGTTAATTTTAACATTTCGACACTATCATTTTTACGTGAAATTTATGTACATGAAACACGTAAAATTAACATGGCTATCATGTATTATTGATATGATACTCATGTATAATTAACATGATATTTATGTAATACTTACGTGACAGTAACGTTAAAACTACATTCAAAAATTGTTAATTTGAAATGATACTTACGTGACAGTAACGTTAAAACTACATTTAAAAGATGTTAATTTCAAATGATACTTACGTGAGAGTAACGTTAAAAGTACATTTAAATAATTATGATTTGAAATGAAAATCACATCAAATTGAAATTATTTTCAATAAATTTATTATTTTTTTTTAAATAAATAGGCACATATTTACATATTTTTAATATGAATAAACAGGTACTAAAAATTCTTATTTCTTATAACAGGAGTTCCTTCGTAAATGTAGTACAAATGAATAGGTGGGCTTGTGAAAAACTCAACATTTTTTAATTCAATAACATTGTTTATACAACCCACTTTGTACGATTGATAGTGCTCTAAGAAACCAATAATTTCATATTTGTGGACTAGAAAGTAAGCCTCATTATTTAAACTTATAAGTATTTCTTTTATTTCATATAGTTCAATGACTTCGTCAGTAGTTTTTGTTAAAAAGTGGCCCTTTTTATACGTCGTTCCCTTAAAGTTTACTGATTTAACTTTTAAATTATTTGCGAAAAAAGATTCAAAATCTCGAAAATTCACGATATTGTTAAAATACCTACAATCTTTAATCCGAAAATGCTCAGTTTGTTCATATTGAGTTTGGTTAGGAAACCCATCGTTATGGACCCTTATAAATGTTGTAAACTTTAAAGATGCTTTCATGCTTAGACTATAGGTTATATTTTTTCTGGAAGTAATACTTCTTGCATACATTTTTGCTTCCTTGTGCTTAGATTCGAATCGAAAAGTCCATAAGTATTTAAGAGGGCCTGATTGTTTTATGACACGCACATAATGATTTAAAAAGTGAAATTTAGGTTTAAGGGGCTTGTGAAACAATTCCAAATACTTTTCATTATGGGATTTTATTAAAGAATCTAACTTAATTAAATAATTTGTATCAAATGAGCTGCTATTAATCATGTCAATAATTTTGAGGAGCGTTAAAAAAAATAACCAACATTCGTCGTTGTCTGGAATGCGATCTCCTATGATTAGAGGAAGGAAATGTACAAACGTCATCATTTCTCTAGCCGACATTTTGAGATTGCAACTAGAAAGGTGTGTTAATTCAAAAGGAGGTGATAAATTTCCGATTTCCGTTTCACCGTAGTTAAACATCTGCTTCCTATAGTTAAATGCTTCTAAGGAAAATAATTTCTTTTCAATTATGAAGTATTTTAGAATTTCACAAATATCATATTTACAAACTCCCTCAAACAAATCGTGTACTATTTCTACCGCAAAATTAGTTGTTGCATGAAAAGATATTAAATCATTAAACAGGCAAATCGATTTTATACCAGTAAGCTTAATGTCGTTAGTTGCTAATGCAGCATTATAATTTTCCTCAGTCCTGATGAAGTCTGGATACTCCACGCAATCTAAATGCATCTCAGCTTTGTTTCTCCTACAGAATCGGCAATAGTAATTCGAATTGAAAGAAGTTGTAAAACCAAGAACGTCATTTAAGCCTAAATTATCACCAAGAATATTACACATTACAAAGTAAATTTTTTCAGTACTATTATTTAAATTAAATTGTAGACCGTCTTCTTCAAGAGACTTAAATATATCAATTAGTGGCTTCATAAAAGGCTCATTTCCAAACATTTTTTGTTCTTTACTTTTGAAGTATGCTGCTACAAATATGTAGTTCAGATTAGACAATAGATATTGCGGCAAAGTTGGAAAAATATAATAAACACCACAAATTTTGTCTATATTTGCATGACTACCCAGCGGATTATTAATTTCAAAGCTATCCATGTAAATGAAAAACGGTATTATAGTTTTACCAACAAAAAACTTTAACTTTTCTTTAAACGAAGCTGAGTTTATAAAATGCGTGATTGAGGATGAATTAACCAGGTCTTTTATATTATGTAAAGTAATTTCCAGAACTGAAGGCAATTCGAAAAATTTTCGAATTTGAAATTTGATCGGCATTATGCAACCAAACACATTACCTGCTTCTAAAGTTGGTCTATTATTTACAATAACTTCACACAATTCATTGTTTATATTAAAAAACTGTGGTTTTGAAAATTCGTCTGATTCTTCAATGCTTTTGAATAACTTATATTCGGTTTGAAAGTCTTTGAATGGGTTTTCGTAATAATTAACTAAGTCTATAATATCTTTTCTTTCATTTTCAGGCGTATAGCAAAAAAGTTTATTTTTTAATGGTTCCACAACGCTAAAAATTATCGCAGACACACTATCCTGAATTGATAGAACATCTTTTCTGGTCATGTTGCTCTTAGTATGTAAATCTAATAAAAACGATTGACATTTTTTTGATACATTTAACTTACTTTCTTTAATTTCGCAAGTATTGCAAGAAGGTTTAGTTGAGTCTGCTATTTGAGCAACTATTTTAGCGCTATCGTTTACATAGGGTATATCAAACTTAGTTCTTTTAGATTGTGGTGATATTAGCTCACTTTCGGTGAAATGTTTCAAATGGTTTTGGGTATGCCTTTTAAAACAATACAGGTTTGAAAATAATTGATTACAATTTGAAAAAGTACATTGAAAGTCACTATTGCGTGTCAAGCGATGAGCATCTTTAAAGTGTTTAAGTAGTATTGAGAGTTCAATAAAAACTCTATCACAAGCAAAACATTTGATTTCCTTACTCATTTTTTATTTATGATTTAAATAAGGTCAAAAATTCACATAAAGCTGAGCTTTTTATGTCATAGACCGTTGTTATCTTGTAAATTTGTTTTTGCAAAAAATACCACATCAAAGATGACTCTCTTGGATACTCTAAGTTAAGGACATGAAATACTTTAAAACAAATGTCTAAAGCAGCTATAAATGAGTGAAATTTTTGTAAAGTTCCCCCATAATCTACATAAAACTCAGTTAAACTTTTTATATCTGAACCTACTACAATAAGATACGGTTGAATTTTTTCTTTCCTGTGCATCGATTTTTTTACCTTCTCTGCGTACGTAAATTCCAGATCATTTATATTCGTAATATGTACAATGCAACTGTCCATAGCATCTCGAATAGTAGTTTTACTAGTAACACGCTTTCCATCAATTTCTGCAACATATCGTGATGTGGGTTTCAGTACAGCATTTAGCAGCATTATCAAAATGCAATCTTTGGAATCTACATTTAACAAGAAAAGTATTATTTTAGTTTAAAAAGTATCTTATTTATATGTATGAACGTGTACACATAAATATGTATGTATATAATAAATATGTTACTCACTGTCGTTTACACATTCGTTGCTTACTGACCCAAAAAGATCTACATATTGTTTATCCCTCAACAAATCTTTATAAAGTTGGCCAAGTTGGTTCCGCATATCTGTCCAATTATTAATTAGGTGGAAATTTTCGTCTGGGTACATTTTTTGGAAGTCAAAATCGAGCTACATACATAAATTAAAAATAAAAATATGCGCATGTAAGTGTAACTACATTAGTGTGTTTTAAAAAAGTTTAAGTACCTACAAATTTTGGTCCTGTAGCTTGTTTGTAGAATGGCCACTCTTCCAGGATTGACGTTAGGTCTTTTATATCACGGATATGATTAACCCGGTATTTATATGTCTCGCTCCATAAGTTAATTGTATCGCTTTCGTCACCACTCATAAAATACATTTTATTCTTAAATGAAATGTAATTAGTGGAGCATAGTGTTTCCCTCTCAGATGCATTCTGTTCCTCTGACGTGTTGCTATCAAGTCTTATGCGCTTGCGATTCAAGTTATTGAAGCGATTGTATAAAATACCAGATGCATTGGTTCTCCGTGCGTCCTTGCGAGATATGTGATAGATTTCCTTATTTTCAGTAGGAAAAATTGCTACAATTTCTTCAGCCAATTTATTAATTTCATGTGCACGCGGTATTTTGTACTTTTTCGAATTTAAATCGAAGAAGTTTTCCACAATAATGTTAAGCAATCTTTTTCTATCACCTGCATCTAACTTTTGCTTCGTTTGATATAAGCTTAATAGAGATTGGCCACTTTTCGAGTTTTTCACCATGTCAATTACACTCTACAATAAAATTAAATTTAGAAAAAAAGCACCGCTTAAAAACAATCGTTACCGTGACTTCAGACGAAGTGGAATTGGTAGCTGGCGAGTCAAGAGGTTGATTTTCAATCCAATTTTTGATATTTGAGTTCATACGTAGAGTCGAAACAGATTCTTCTGGAAACTAAAAAGAAAATAGTTAATATTCAAACAAATTATACTAGTTACAACTTTATAAATAAATATATTACGTTATTGTGCTTCTAAAGCCTTATTTTTTCCCTTAGTTCTGCTCTATAACCGATATTTTCGTTCCCTAGAAATACCAACGCCAAGTCGTCACAGTTTATGTACTTCAGCCGGTCAAATGTGATTCCAGAAGCTTTAGATGGGTCAGTAAAAACATTATCCATTATGAAAGATTTTTATTAAAAAATAAAACAATCACCATAAAACTTGTCGTAAGCGGCTTCTATATTCATCTCTTTTAATAAGTCTTTTAATCGCTGATCTCCTCCTGATTGAGTTTCGACAATCTAGGAAAACAACATCGTAGTATTATGATCAGTCAATGTCGTTACAGCTTTAAGTTATACGTGTAAAAAACATGTCTATTATAGAAAATCATTTCTTACCTGTTCTAAATTTCCACTTAATATTTCGTACTGAGCAGATTGCGTTATGATTTCTCCATTTCCACCAATTTCTACAGGCGTTGCTTCCAGAACGATATGCTGCCCTGCGCCATTCATAGTCAGCGAAACATTTTCGCCAAATAATAAAGAATTATCACTCATTTTCACAATCTTTATTAACTTTCTGAGTTGTTTTTTATTAAATATTCTCACAGTTTGCACTTTAAAACGACTATAAAACAATTTCAATGCGATTTTCAATAGATCTAGCGTTTTTTATTCTTTGCATGCGCGAACATGAGTCATTGTGTACAAATACAAGTGAGATATCTTAGCAATAGACGTCATCCTGGGCCACAGCTGCGATCATCTGTTTTTTAGAGTTGCTTATTTTGGTCTAAAGTGCGCTTTTATGACCTGAGTTGCATTAAATAGTCTCTTAAAACTTGGTAGTATTAGTTGTTCAAATGGTAACATATATGCCCAAAAACTTGAAAAATATTAGATGATTGCTTTTTAAAAATGCTATTTATAAAATTTGGTTTTGATTGCGACATTAGAAATATTCAGATTATAAAAGTTTTTCACATATGTTTTAAGATTTTAAAGCTTTTAAAATGTACGGTAGAATGCAACAATGTGCTTGAATTTGTTTGCTTCTTCGTCAGCTTATTCGTTTGCAGACTAGAAAAATGGCGAACAGCCATCAAAATACTGATTCAAAATACACACAAATGGGTGCGCGCAGCAAAATTCAACCCCAATGGTAAGTTCATTTCATCGTGCGGCGACAAGTTAAGAATTTGCGATACATTTTCAGGCGAATGTATGCGAACGTTCACCGGGGGAAGAGGTATGGGACGACAGCTGGCATGGCATCCAGACGGCAATCTGATGGCTTTAGCATTAAGTTGGAACCGCGTTAAGATATTTGACAAAGCTGAAGGCGAGCTAATACAGTGCATTCGTCGCGGAGAATGATGTTGCATTTCACCCAAGTGGAAATTTCTTGGTGACTGGCGGCGATAACTATACAATAGGATTGCATGATTTATTAGAAGGTCGGCCAATTTATACACGGTAGTAGTGCACTTTAGCGGAACCATATAAAATACATTTTTTCCTGTATTCAACAGTTGCCCGTTTGGAAATCTAATTTGCATACATTTGATGCCAATAGCGCGCAACAAACAAGCCAGTTCTCAAAGAGCCCAAATTGATTTTAGTCATGCAACAGCTCCACATAACTCCGCCATAGACACACCAGTTGCTGGAGTACCAAAAAGCTGTGATGACAGTATTTTAATTGATCCACGACAATCGGTGGCATATGGCATGCGTGATGGAAATTTTCTGGTGCTTGATAGCCAATATACTACAAGAGTGAAACGCTACAAGTGAAACGCTGTGATAGTATTTTTTCTCAAATTTTCATCTTTTATTTGCAGTTACATTAAGAAGCTCATAGAGGACAGAGCGGTTGGTGAGGAAGGTGTCGAGTTACTGCTGTACTGCAACTGGGAAAATCCGCATTTCGCACGTGCTCCACTCGTTTGGAATAGTAGCTTATGTCGAAAGGCTGGTTTTAGTATAATGCGGCATTCGCAGCATACCCTCACTGACGCCGAGCCGTTGAAGAAATTTTGGATAAATAAACGTGCAAGAAATAGTTCCGATACTAGCACGTACATATTCTTGTTAAGGGTCATCAAAAAATTCCATGTGTTGTAAATAATAAAGGGAATGCCGGATTATACTAAAGCCAGCTTCCCGACTTAAACTACTATTCCATACGAACACAGAAATATAAATGTATCTAAAACTGAATAACTCAAATCAAATTGGATTGCATTTGCATAATATACCTAATATTGGAATCTGTTTTGATCGTAAAAAATACAACTTGCAATCATTTAGATTATAGTTTTGAAAGAAATTGATTGCAATCGTAAATTATGTAAAAATTGTCAATAACAATCTGCCTAAAATTTCTTTTCCCCATGTAACGGTTATAAAATACGTTAAATCCGCACTATCTGCATTAACAAAATATATACATTGGAATATTTAAAATAAACCGATTCATATTTATTTTCTAGTAAGAATTGTTTCTTAATTGAAAGTATTTAATACTAATATAATGTAGTGGTTAATGTTTTAAAATGAATTCGCAATATGTCCGCAGCTCAGGTTGATTTAAAGAAATCCGTTTAAATTTTTCGAATTACATCTACTTGAATACAGGATAGGCAGGGTTGCATACAAATGGTTGTTCCGTAAATATTTAAAATATGTTAGTTCATTCAATATTTGCATCTGGGCCAATAAATAATAACAAATATAGCCGAAAAAAACAAAGTTTCAATTAAAACGAGTTTTTATAACCCCCCATAAAATTCCGATTAATTTTAAATACGAAAATAACGGTATTTTTTCATGGAGATTTATTTTTTTAATACACCTTGTTTATACCTACACAAAAACCGGATTAGCAAAAAACCGATTGGACTCAACATATATTTCTTTACAGCATTTATCCCCCTGTCTTTATAGCGCACTCGATAAAGTCTTATTCAAAAGTAAACAAAATTGCTATTTTGAAACGACATTTTTTTAACAAATAATTTGCGCGGTTGACCGAAATGGAAACAAACAATAATTGTAATTTATTATAACAATAATACGAATTTAAAACGGGCTGTATAAAGAAAACCAGCCTATTGTCACTTCACTTTCCAATGGTGCTGATTGCTGCAAGAATTATTTAGCGATTTAGAGCATAATCAACACAATATATGCACATAAATATGTATTATTTCACAGATCTCAGGGTCAGCTTAGAAATACGTTACCAAAATTATATAAAATTTAAGTTGGAATTATTTTTATTTATAACGTAAAAGCGCTATCTGTCCCAATCTGATAAGTATATTTCCCCTAAAGTTAACCCATTTTATTTAATTTGTCTCTCGTGAAAATATATATTTTATTTATAATTTTCAGATATGTACATATATTTTAAATTTTTGCTTTAATTTTTGTCTCCTTTTAATATTTAATTAGATACCTTAAGATTAAAATAAGCTTAAAACGAAACAGCACAGCAACCCTTTTCTGTTCATCTTGAGAACACAAAACCCTCTTTTGTTAAAATTCGGCGCTGCACAAAATCCTGGCTTTTATATTTTCCAACAAAATACCACTTCGCAACCCTGGATTTTCACGAAGCGTTTCATTCGGGTCGTAGTTTGGCTACTTCGGGCCATTCGGTGTTGTATGCCATATTGGCTGCCATATTGTTCACACTGTCATCGCCATATTGAACACCCTGTCAACTATCTGTCAACCCTAAGATATCTCACTTGTATTCTTCCACAATGACATGAGTGTCAACTGCTGTTGTCATTTTAATATGAGAATAATATAAAAATGTGGATTTAACAGTTTTCATATCAATTTGACGTGAAACCTATTGTTTTGACCATTTTCAATGTTAATATGACATTTTTCTCTCATTAACATGTGAAATTGATATGACAATTTAATAACTGCCAATGTTGATTTAATAGTTTTCATATCAATTTGACGTGAAACCTATTGTTTTGATCATTTTCAATGTTAATATGACATTTTTCTCTTATGAACATGAGAAATTGATATGACAATGTAATAAATGCCAATGTTGATTTAACAGTTTTCATATCAATTTGACGTGAAACCTATTGTTTTGATCAATTTCAATGTTAATATGACATTTTTCTCTCATTAACATGTGAAATTGATATGACAATGTAATAAATGCCACTGTTGATTTAACAGTTTTTATATCAATTTGACGTGAAACCTATTGTTTTGATCATTTTCAATGTTAATATGACATTTTTTGGCGGTATGTAAAATTGATAAAGCAGAAATGTTAAATTTACATGAGACTTTTCTCTGCTGTAATATTAACATGAGAAATCGATATGACAACGTAATACATGCCAATGTTGATTTAACAGTTTTCATACCAATTAAACGTGAAACCTGTTGTTTCGATCATTTTCAATGTTAATATGACATTTTTTGGCGAAATGTAAAATTGATAATGCAGAAATGTTAGTTTTACATGAGACTTTTCTTTCGGTGTAGGATTTATGAGTACGCATGTACATATGTACATGTATGGAAGAAAATAGTACCACCCTGCAGCGGAAAGTACTAGTACAGAACTAGTGAATTCACCAGTTTTCGGGAGTCGAATACCGGTACCTCGCAAATCTACCACCCACTACTGTCGCATTTAACATGGAGTTGTCCTAGGAAGTGACAATTGACTCCCGCTGCGTAACTTGTTGCCTTTAAAAGAACTTTTTTTTTCGTTGTGCACTTCATACAAAAAACGAAAATAAAAATTTTAAATTAAATATATGTTCTGCCTAATGAGATTTGAACCTGGACACTTTTGGCCGCAACTAATTGTAGCAAGCATCTTTGCGCACTCAGCTACACACACAACATGTAAGTGTGCTTTCAAATGTTCGCTTTGAATTAAGCCAAATTACGCGACTGGTACATTTGTTGAAATTTGTATTTGCTATTTACAGAGTGCCGTTATTTTGAAATTTTTTATTGGGATGAACGCATTCTCTATAAAAATTCCTAGACCACACCATCCTGTGATCGGTCGTATAAACCAAGGAATGAAACCGATTGAAAATAACGTTCCGGTTTCGGTTTCAAAATTTGTTTCGGTTTTGGTTTCCTTCCGGTTTCGGTTTTGGAATAAAAAAAACATGAAAATAAGTTTGTCAAAAAAAAAAATTATTTATTAAGTAAATATGTACCTTCCAAGGTTTGTTTTTGGCGAATTTAAGCATTGTGATTAATTTTGATTTCTATAATTAAAACCCTTCTGAATCAATTATACAAACTTATAACCATATTCCACCACATTTGCTAGGATCTAAATGCATAAATTTGTTTCGTTCTTGGCGTCTTTGATTGGCAAAGGCCAGTAACAGAGGACGGATAATTTCAGAAGTTTTCGGTCCACTAAGATAATGGGAACTACGATTCGCGTCTAACTGAGAC